CAAGGCTCATTGATGCACATGGAGAGTGAAGGCTGGCCCGTGTGGTCCAATCCAACAGAGCTACTGTAGCTCAAACTGCTGAAACAGTTAATGTTGGGTCTGATAGAAAGGTTTCAGAACACACAGTGCATCACAGTTTGTTGGTATGGGACTACATACCATTATGACCACCAGGGTAATGGGGTAATATTATGGCTGATTGGTGTATATCTTTGTGTACAACACAACAATGATGTTGTGTTTAAACTTATTGTTTTTGTGACATTTCAGGTAAAGGGGTATTTAACTGTGACAGTTTCCTGGGTCTGATGGCACTGTACCACGAAAGAACCAAGAACCAGGATGCTGAACTTAGAGCTGCTTTCAAAGTATTTGACAAAGAGGCCAAGGGATATATTGACTGGAACACACTCAAGTAAGAATAACATAATGGATGGAAAAGAAAAGCACAACAAACAGTTGCGGTGCACAGAATAAGTGAATTATTTTAATTTGATCTACTGTATACTGGATCACTGGTCAGTGACACGTTATTTAGATAGATAGATAGATATACTTTATTGATCCCAAGCTGGGAAATTGCAGAATTTATTTATTCAACACAAATTAAAATCCACATTAAGGAATAAAATAAAAACTTGTTGGTCATCATGCTCATGTTCCATATTACTTACCAGATACGTACTCATGAATGCTGGAGAACCTCTTAACGAGATTGAGGCTGAGCAGATGATTAGGGAGGCGGATAAAGATGGAGATGGAACCATCGATTATGAAGGTATGAATGTATTGTATTTATTCATGTTCTGAATTACAGGTTACCACTTGTTAAAAATGTTTATTAGGTTAAAATAATGTTAACGCAAGGTGTACATTGTGACAGTACTGTTTTACTGTTTTATTTAATTTTACAAATTGAATGGGTAAATAGTTATACTGAAGAATGAAATTTAAATTAAATAAGCCTTCATTAAAATTGTGAATTTACTTGAAAAGTTACTATATTGTTTACTTTTGGTTCTGAATCCAAATACCTTAGTTTTTTCAAAAGTGTCTCCTTAGAACTTAATAAATGGGATGATGGAGTAATAACGAATTGATAAAAATATAATGCTATTTACTGCTGATTTGAACTTTTTCAGAATTTGTGGCAATGATGACTGGAAACTTGTTCAAAATGAGCTGAAGACATTGTGGATATTCTGCAGTTGCTGTCAACATGTGTTACAATTACACACAATTATATAACATGATGTCATTTTTCTAGCTTTCAACATATTTCTTGTTTTACAAATGTCTGCAATAACATATGTTTGTGAATAACTGCACAAATCCTTCACATTAAAGTAAAATAAATCTATGAGATTGATTTGTCTTTTTCTTATAGAGTAAATTCAGGTCATTGAGGATTAGAGGAGAGACATCATAGGGTTAATTTCCTCAGACCTGCCACCCGGATGCAGTCATTCACATAGGCCGGACAGCATCTGGTGTGCAAAGCCATTAAATCCCATTCTCACCCCTGCAAAGCCAAATAGACAGCTCAGGGAGCCAACCGCATCTGTCATCTTGAAGCCATTAGACCAATTACAGGGCGAGGGGGGAGGGAGCTTGCCATACTGATCTCTGTTTGCAGCATCCCTAGAGCAGCCTCTGTTGTGTAAAATACAAGGAAGGGCAAGACGGGGGGAGTAGATCCTAGGAGGCAATCTGAGAACAGGAAGGGGATCTCTTGGAGGCTGTCGGGATAGGGTTACCTTGGTGTGTGGAGTCCATCTTCAGAGAAAATGGCTGATTTGTCAATGTAAACAGCCTGAGCAGTACCTGCATTGCTAAAGGGGGGAAACAGAAGAAGAGGAGGAGGGGCAGCCACTGGTGGAAATGCTGCCTCTTCCAATGAAATTTTCTCTTCTCTAGCCAGCCCCGGCCTGCCGCAGCTCACCTCTGAAGTCATGCATTTTGTATGTTAAGGTACGTATGCATCTCTAATCTGAGAGGACACATGGAGTAGGGGCTGGTCACGTTGGCAGGATTAGTAGCTCAGCTGTTTGTTCAGGACAGCTGAGATAGAGTGCATCTTGACTAAAAATAACATGTTATGTATCAGTCACACACAGTAATAAGACCAAAACATGATTCAAACAAAGATGTCAAGTGTTTGCAGGCTCTGTCTTTGTTGCAATGCGGGGATTGTTAACCAGACAAACAGCAATGACTGAATCCTAGCCTTTGGTTTTCATTGGTTGTTTGCTTCAGCTGCACATGTTCCTCATTAAGAGTACAAGCAGACAGGATGCACTAAGGGGAGAGGAATGGATCATGTGTCTATTTTCACTGCCTTCCTGTGTCAGCATGTAACACTGCTTTAAAATGAAAAGCATGTTCATGTTTTAAAACTCCTCATATATTTAGATCTTCAAGATAAATTGCTCTTCACGCTCATGGGATGTGTACAGTCTGTGTGTGTGTGTGGGTGGGAGGTACATGTACAGAGTCTTGGATGTAGTGGATATTTATGGAAGCTGTGTGTGTGTGTGTGTTGTTGGGGGTGACGTTTTTAACGTGCTGCCAACATATTTCCTCACAGTGCAGATTTCAGTTTGAGTGGTTAGTATTCCTTGGTATTTTATCAAGTTTGTTATGCCACTTTCCTCCTCTGCCACTTCTACCCACATCCTGCCCTGAAACACCTACCACCCTGCTGGCACAATCAGCCGTGGTTTGAATGAAAACAAAGGTGGGGTGTGCCAAAACTGACACGTTTGAATTTTTTAAACAAAGATTTCATTAAATAATCAGTGCACAGAAGCAAAATGGAAATTATATTTTAGCAATTTTGGCTGGATTTAAAGGATCACCTTATCTTTATTTACATTCACTACATTGCTTTTTGTCCTATATGGTTAAACATTAATCACAGACAGCTTTACCTTTTTGTTTTAGGGTGAATTCTCCAGATCATATGGCCAAAGCATCATCAATGCCTCAGCAGACCTCAAACCACAGGGAACCTGTGTCGACCATGAGACACACCACACGCTGAGCAACGCAACAACATCCACGCTGAGATTGTAAATACATCCTTCAGTTGAAACAGTTACACCTGACCATGGCTGTAACTGCAGCTAAGACAACTACAAGTTTACTCTCCACATCTGCTACGACCACCGCGATACCCTTCCTCTCGACGAGCTCGGGCACCAGAGACAATGTCACCTCTAGAACAACATTAATGACTGTTACTATAACAACAAACGAGACCAGCTTCAATGCCACCACGTTTCCGGAGGCAGTGATCGAGGGCTCAGGGATGGGAATGGTGCTCGTACCCTTTGGCATCATCACTGTCATTGGCTTAGCAGTGGCAATTGTAAGAAATTTGATTCAGTAGAAATGTATTTTTTTTCCTCAATGAACTGGAATGACTTCCTTGTCTTTTCAATATCATGTTTCAATTTGTATATATTTGTCTTGACACAGAAAAGTCACTTCTATAAATAACTTTACTTGTTTTTCTTTCTCATCATAAATGTCTTTCTTCATCCTAGATGCTGTATATTCGGAAACGGAAGCGGTAAGTCTATAGATTTTATTTGCTCATCTCACAGATAGAAAAAGCCCCAGAAGCTGCAAGTTTACTACACGTCAATTGGGTTTAGTAGTCAAATTTGCACCAATAACATATAATGTCAACTAAAGTCATTCCTGTAGCACTGTAATATTTTGTGGCTGTGTCTTGTCAAATTTATTTAAAAAGCTATATTATCTTAGTTTAAAGTGTGTCCACATGGTACATATTGTCAAACAAACGGACACAAATTAAGTACTGGTTGCACTGGAATTAATAGGGAACTTGGAGACAGCAGAGTATATATAGTGTATGTACATTGCACAGAGGGCGGTAGGTGGAGGGTTAGTAGGGGCCACCAAATCTTTGCTGACTGGTCTTCATCACTAAACTCTCATCATGCAGGTTGGAGAAGCTGAGGCACCAGCTCATGCCCATGTACAACTTTGACCCGGCTGAAGAACAAGATGACCTGCTGGAACAGGAACTATTGGACCACGGCCGGGAAGGCAGCCTCACAGGTCCCAATGCCAAGGTAAGATGGTCCTCACATGAACCACTGTATCTAGAATGAAAAGCTCTCATTCCGACCACAAGTATTGAATGGTTTGATGACCACAGAAGCTACGATACCCATATTTCATATTCCTGAGCAGTGGCTTAGACAATCTTTCCCATCAAACTTTCATCAAAGTATGAAAGTATGATGTGACATTCTTCAGATTATTTCTGATGCCCCAGTTTGGTGGATGAAAGTGTTTCTGGTGGCTTGTTTTAGCTGTAAATTTAATAAAGTCTGTTTGTATATTTTGTTATTATGATAAAGTTTCTATTTTTGCCATATCACTCTACATTTATGCTTAACTTTAGGCTACTGATAGATAATCTACACTTATTTTGTTCCATCAATAGCTGTTATTCAGTAACTGTCATAATTTATCTTTATTTTGTTTTATTTCTTTTAAGTTTTGACAATGGCATAATGGTAAAAGGCAAACATGGTAAAGTATCACCTGTGTGGCTTTTGAACCATCTCTCTCATCCCTCTTTTTTCCTCCACAATCCTTTTTCTTTCACGCTATCATTATTTCAGTATCTCAAACAAAAACCCGGTTAGATGTTTGTAATTAATTTTATATTAACTAATCTACACCGATCAGCAATAACATTATGACCACCTGGGCACGCTGGTGGTCATAACCGGGAACCGGGAACACCCCACAAGAGCTGCAGTTTTGGAGATGCTCTGACCCAGGCTTCTAGCCATCACAAATTAGCCCTTTTCAAAGCTCAAATCCCCACACTGCCCATTTTTCCTG